GCACCCACAATTCATAACTAATATCCTTGACAGGCCCCATGAGGCACCTAATATTATATTTGCGTCACAGTAAGCAAAGTGATTCACATTATCTTTGACAGTGACTCAAAACTAATCAGGAAGTTATTTATTCACCGCTATCAAAACCTTAGCAGTAAGACCTGACATGCACCTGACGTGCAGCTTCAGCCACTTCCTTTCCAGCCTGCTTTCTTTGGAAATCCTGCATGTCCATCCTGCACAGTGTTCTGTGCATTACCACCTCTCTGGGAAAAATCCCAAGCTATTTCAAATAACTTCTCTCCACACTTCTTCCCCACTGCACAGGGAAAGTAAACACGAGCCTACAAATAAACAGCATTTGCTATTTGACAGTGAACCTTGAACCTTGCAATGTGCTTCACACCACTTACAAAAACATAATGAAAAATTATTTATAAGGAGGATGCCACAGCGAACTGGTATATAACATACTCATTCGCTTATTTTCAGAGTATCGTTTGGAAATATATATTATTCCTGCTTTTTCACGTGAAAAAAAAAAAGATAAGGGCGAAACTACAATAAAGGACTGGAAGTAACTATCCGATCCACAGAGCGCAGCCTGCTGCAGCTGCACACCAGAACACAAGGAATCTTAGAGGAAATGCGCTATTTCTTCCTAAAAAAAGCACCTTGCAGCTCTCCTGCACGCTGCAACCAAACCCCTGCAGGTCCTCTGAGGGCAATCGCACCGAAACCTGCAGGTAACAGGTGAGTTCCTTCCACGCCGCCTCTGCAAGGAAAGACACCGAGCTCAGCCGGAAATAAAGCTCAACGCGCGATAATACCTGTATCATTTCCACCATCTCCGCGGTGATGATGTCCTTCTCCACCATGTGCTGCACCAGCACATTCAACACCAGCTGCTTGGCCAGCATCACCCGATTCTTCTTCAGCGCTTCCTGGTGGCACCGCTGCATGCCGCACGCCGCCAGCATCCTGGGAGGAGCGGGGACACCAGGGCCGAGCGCCGCGGCAAGGAGCCACCCGCGTCCCCGTCGCGGCTTTCGGCTCGGGGGGAAGCG